GAAATTGCTCGACCTGTGAATTGTTTTCACATGCAATAGTAACAATTGAATACGCACATACGATTACTCTAATTTGCATGTCTGAGTTTTAAATGAAACATGCATGACATTTAAAAATTATCGAACATTTTTATGGCTTTTGATGGCTCGACTAATTGCATATTCGTAAAGTTACCTTGAAGCTCTAAAAATCTGTCTTGCGGGTACATTGCACGTCATAACGGCCCATGCACGTACATACATAAGAATAATAAGTTTGATGTTATTGATGGCCGGAAGCATTGGCACAAAAAATAGTCCCAACCAAATCATTCCTTGATTATTCACCAAATGCAAAACATTTTCGGCCACTTTGAATTCACCATATTCCGGCTGAAAGTAATCATTTGGGATATTGAAGTGTCTTCTCGCTGATTCATCTCCATCATGATCAAAACGCACGCAATCGATCGATTTTTATCAGTCATCATTTGCAAATTGCCAATTTGGGTCAAGTAAATGTGAACAGCAACAGCTGCTGCAGTTTGAATGAGATGTCGAAGAATTAAGCTATCCTTCAACAGCCATAAAAATGAAATGTACTCACAAATGTACATTCCAAGTTCCAAAACCACCACAAATTACAATATCGGACCCATAAACCTCGCAGAAAGTCGATGACCAGAATTGATGCTATTGTCATCACTAAATCCATCGTGACCAACTTGGTGATCTCCTAAACGAGAGCACTGATTCATTAATTAACTCCATCGGAGCAGATGAATCCAAACTGTGGCTGATTTGCGGAGTTTTTGAGACAATTCTGCGAACAAATTCAGCGAAAGTCAACGAAGTCGTTGACAGCTAACTGGCAAAAAAGAAAGAAAAAACATTCGTAAAACAAACCTGCCCAATCAAATTCTCCCAGCATTCCTCATACCAATCGGTTGTCAGTCGTTGCGCAGTCACTGTTCGAACTGATGTTGAATAGTTGAGCGGAATCGGTAATGTAGTGACATTCTTGCTCCAATCCGTTCGCCCGATTGGTCGCGTATAGAAACTACTCGAATTTGGTAGATTCCTTGAGACCGATGAGACGACTACGTTTGGATTCGCCACGGCAAATGGCCCAAATTTTGGTAGAACCTTAAGCGACACCATAGATCATGATTATCTGAGCGATAAAAGGGGAATGGGAAGGTGGCAAACGATTAGTTAATAGTTGTTACCGTAGTCCACTGTGTTGTTGGTACTGGGGTAGTGGTGGTCTCATTGAATTGTTGATCATTGAAAGGTGATAGATTAGCCGGAAATTCATATCTCACCTGACGCTCACTTCTGAAAATTTCGGCAAAATTTTCAGTTTCCAGTGCTATATTAGCCCTTGTCAAAAAATGATTTATTTTGATAATCTTGGTGACTTAACAGCAGCATGTGAAAAGTCAAGGTTTATGAGTCCTGTTTAATTTCTAGGTGTTTGGCCGACTTGCTGATGCCTTCCTAACAAGGACTTAGCTTTGCAAGAAGTTTACTCTGAATGATAGGGGTAACCGGGATAAAAACAGTGAACAACTGAATTGTATCATGCAAATACCGATTGAGGGAAAGTTGAGGCAATACAAATGGTGGAAGTAGCGATTCGTCACTGAATTGCGATGCCACGAAGAGTGGCTGGTCAGCATTATTGCGCTGACTCTCCATCGTGTTCAGCATAAACATTAACGACACAATTAACGTATAATAATTGACAATATACAGAAACAATACTCTGAAATGATTCTCATTAGAAACCGATCAATACTGATCAGATGGCGATCGTGATCAATCGATTCATCGATCCACATGGTGCATGATTAACTTAACATGAAAAAATTCAAGCGAACACGTTTGATTGAGTTCTCTTAATGAATCGCTCACAAATGTGCAAAGCAACAATGACTGCATCAAAATATAGTGTAATTTCTTCAGAATGCTTCAACAATTCTCAAGAAAAACAATGCGAATGAAGAGATTGAGAAGCGATCAGCCGAGGTGATCATCAGTAGTGATTAACATTACTGATCATTAGTAATCAATGATTAATAATATTGGTA